GCTCTCCGCAACAGGCGGGTCCCGCTCTTCGGGTCCTGCCCCAACCAGCGAGGCTGTGGGGCAACGCCAGCATGTTTCTTGGCACCTGGCTGCTCCTCTCCAGCATCTCTCTGCCAAGGCTGTCCCCTGCCACCAAGACTGGCTGATCTCTGGCTGTCCTGCCTCTGATATCCTCCTGCTCAACAAAAAATACAATTTTCATTCAGCAAAGCCCATGGCTAAAACTGCCTTTAGTTTATTTCCTCCCTTTAAATAAATATATATATATATACAGTATTGAACCAACATTTGTGTGTGTATATATATTTATCCAATGCTCTCACGACAAAACTTTCTTTTGAAGAGGGCACGCAGATCTGAGTTTTTCTTTTCCAGTAACTAAGTATAATAAGCACTGGTATTTTTGTATAAAAACAGAAAAATACAAAACAAAAGACTGAATATTATGTGGTATGCATGACATTTAAAAAAAAAAAATGGTGGTTTCAAAGCAATATGTACCCTGGTGTGTTTGCCATATCCTAGAGTCCAGCTTAAAGTGCACCTGATCTGTATTGCATTTTGATATTAATCTCTATGTACAATGTTTTGCATGTAATTTATATGGTTCTTGGGAGAAAAAATTTTTGAATGAATTGTCAGTTGGCTTCTTCTGAGAAAACAGACTCCAAGCAGAGATAATACTCAAAGTGGAAGCGGACGAGTGGTTCAGGGGTGGGAAAGGGGGTACATAGCATAAAAATAAAGCGTGCTGGGGAAGGGGGAGAAGGGTAATGGTTTTGAATCAATAAAGCTTTGGCTGTTGAGCAGAAACAATGCGCGAGTGCATCCAGAGAATAAAATGTGCCCACATGTAACTGTGATGTCCTCAGTGTGTCCACCAGCTTGTGAAATCAATCCCACATCCTCTCCTCGTGCTGGATGAATGGCTGGGCTTCCCATCGGAGCAAGCCGGAGCATGAAAGCGGGGCCTGCCGGGTGGTAAGCGGGCTGGGGATCAAAAGCAACTTCGCTGCTAGAAAAGCACCCTTTAGCCTGGGTTTTCTCTCTGTGTAAGCCTCGCTATCGAGGGGCAGGGGCTGGCTGGCTGCACCCAGTGCTTTGTCTCAGGCATGGCTGCTTCCATCTCCAAGCAAAGTCCAGAACTGGCTGTCAAATGCCGTCCAAACCAGTGCTAGTGGGCTGTGTCAAGCTGTTCCTGAGCAAAGATCCTCCCTTGTCCCCTTCCCTGGGGTTATGTCTGCGGTGCCTCTAAGGTGATGCATGGTGAAGGTTGTGCTCTCCATCTCCCAGGGTCTGGCTTCGAGCTGTGTCCTGCCTCCTCCGTACTCAGACTATTTCGCCTCCATAGAGGCACTTGCCCAGACCAGAAGGACAATGGGAAATAAAAGCAACTGGCCTCTGAAATACTCTCATTCCCAACCAGGTTGATTGCACTCGAGCTGTTATTAAACTCCCTGGCTTCAATGGAGAGACTGTTGCTTCTCTGTGTCTTTAATAACTCCAGGGCCAAGCTGTGATGAGGAAACCAAGCTGGGCGAGGCTGTCAGTGAGAAAGTTCATTCTGAAACTTCTCAGCTGAGGGTCTGACCCTTGGGGCTGATGCCAAGTGATATCAACAGGGCGTAAAAGCTTCTTACTGCACAGCGTCGCTGGGGAGGTGTCTGTGCCGACAGCCTCCTGCAGCTCTTAATTAAACAGAACAGCCACAATTGCTTCTTTTTTTTTTTTAAACACAGCCCAGGCCGGATGCAAAGAAAGAAACAAATCAAAGGACTTCTAGTCATTTAATGGGGAAAATGGCTGTACCCGCTGTGCCTGTGCAGTGGCGGGGGGGACACGGGGC